ACACACACACACACACACCTCTTGAGTGTTGGTGATTCGGTTCTGGACCAGGTGAAAGCCCCGTCGGTCACAGAGATGCTGTGCTGGGCTGAACAGAACAGAGAGGAGAACAATGACTAGTTTGACCTGCTGTGTGTATGAAAGGCGCACACGGCTGTGTCTCTGGATTCGAGCATATGGTACTACAGGAAAGGGGACTCACAGCCTTCTGCTGCTTTGTGCTCCACGCTGTCCAACTGCAGCTCCTCGTGTGACAGAAACACCCGGAGTCGCTTCAGGGACACGCTGGCCTGAGGACGGACAAGGTGGGAAGCTGTCAGAGTGCAAAGGTGCTGCAGACTGCTGCTTAGTACAACTAACACAGAGGGAAAAAGGCCCCAAACCACAATTTATATTCATGTGAATATAATATTCATGATTGGATTTTGTGGGAGAGTGAGGAGAGGGAAAGTCCACAGCTCCCTAAATATAAAAGCCAGGTTCCAGTGTAACAGCCTGTAACACTTTAGGTATAATGTGTCATGTGTAGACTGGCAGCCAGTGCAAAGTCTATCTCATCATTTGGATCAAATCATGGAGTCGTACTTAAATCATGTGCAGGAACAGCGAGATGTGACGCTAACACGTCATCATATCATGGACACTGTGCTCTGCCCCTGGGCTTTGGTTTGTGCACATGGTGCTGGGCGGAGCAGCCTCCTCACACTGGGCAGGCTCACGGACAGGTGTTACAGGGGAGGGGTTTGTACTGTACAATATAAAGCGCCTTGAGGCGACTGCTGTTGAGATTTGGAGCCATATAAATAAAATTGAATGGACCTGTGAGCTGGATGTTGATGTGCAGAGTCTACATTAATGACCTCAGCATTCACCTCAGTTCTCCTCAACACGTCCCCCACGAGCTGATAGGCCCTGGATGAACTGTACATCATTGTCATTGGCTTAGAGAACTCTAAACCCAGAGGTATGAAAATGCTACCAGCGTGTCACAAACCCTCCCCACCCTGCCTTTGGGGAGGAAGACCACGCTTCCACACTGCTGCTGCCTGACTCAAGACTCAAACAGAAAGAAAAGAAAGCAGTTTTCAGGTTCAGGAACAGGAAACTGAAGCTGAGGAGGTCTCACAGGACAGGTCTTAGACATCTACTGGAAACCCTGGGTAAATGGTGGCAGGTGTGCTAACCTCTGCCTAAACTCCGACAACTCTGAAGTTTAAAAAGCAGCCAGGTATGACCTCTGGTTCCATGGGAAAGCCCAGGAGGAACTACGAGGATAAAGTGGAGTCCAGCTTCTATGACCCCAAGCAGCTCCGCTGCATCCCTGACTATGAAAGGAAAACAGTGTTCAGATGAGCTATGCTAAGGAAGACGTTTCATGCCTGGAGGGGGCAGTCAGGCTGCTGATGGGACATTATCCTTTGAAAAAGGTCAACCCACACAAAGCTCCCGGACCAGTCGGCATTCCAGGTGGTGTTTTCAGAGCATGTGCTCCACCATCTTCAACCTCTGAAGCAGCCACAGGAAATCAACAGTTTCATGTTGCACCAACGCCTGACCCCTCCTCTCATTGGCCTATAGAAGGAAGAGAGCCACACACGCTGCCCTCACCCACCTGGAACAGGGGAGCACATATTGTGACCTCCACCATCAGTCCTTTGAAACTCTGACCTTTGGACGTCCATCAGCACTTCCTGACAAACAGGAACCAGTTAGAGAGCTGGAAAACACACTTCCTCCACTGTCATGACAAACACGGGACCATGCAGAGCTGAGAGCTCAGTCGCCCTCTGTGCTGCTTAGCTAGTTGTGACTGTGTCAAAGCTTTAATATCCATGTTATATTCTTACATACACTAAACAGCATTACTGACTACAACAGCATCATGTTTGTTTTTAGTGTAGCAAGCTACAACGTAGCATTACAACCAAACCACACCTGGAAACCCAGTCAAGCGTTCGTGTTAACAGGCTGCAGACTGGGCGGAATGGTTGTAAACCAGTTGTTTATGTCACTGCAAACCTGATATGGTTGCCCCGTAAACCGCTTCACTTTTGTACAGTAGGAGGAAGCAGAGCCACATGGTCACCTTCCTGGGTCTCCTTACCTGGATTACATCCATCAAAACATCCTTGTGATGGTTGGTACTACACGCCCCACACTCAGCTTTTAATGCAACAACAAAAACATCCAAGCTTTTACTTAAGGTCCTTAAGCTCATGTATACCAGTCCTACCATCCCAGTTTGAGCACTGGCACAGACTGGTATCCATCTAACGTTTTGGTAAACCTGAAGCTTTCTTTGTGGGTTCCTTTGTGACGGGATGAGTGTGCGAAGAAGACGGAGGGACACGCACCTGCACCATGCTACTGATGACCATCGGCAGCATGTTGAGAGGAAAACGCAGGATGTTGAAGAGCGCCAGCGACACAAAGGCCTTCTGGGCGTCCAGCACGTTTCGTTCATCAATCAGCACGTACACAGCGAAGGTTGATAGGGCCACCTGTGCAGTGACGCAAAAGACATGGCAATGAGAATTTCATTAATGACAGCAAAGTGCTGTGTTTGGTTTAACTGATCTGCAGCTGCTCTTTGGATGTGTGTAATGTTTGTCCACTGTGGTGTGTCGCTCTCTTCCCCGTCAGACTTACAAGGAATGGTGCACAGACCCAGGTGAAGGTGGACACCGCCCCCAGGTAGGCAGCCTTTTTCAGGACACGCAGCTCACTTTCACGAATGTCTGACACCTTTCCTTTGAAGGCCAGCTCCCAGGCATACAGCTTCAGCACTTTGATGCCATTCAGCATCTCATTCATCAGCTTAATGCGATTGTCTTTACTCTTCATCTGAGCCACCTGCAACAAACACACAACACTGTGCTACAAACAGCTACCAGCTAACAACGTGTGTGTGTGTGTGTGTGTGTGTATGCATAAATGAAAATAATCACTGTACTTGCTGTCACTCGACACGTTATCACACACTCTTTAACAGAAATGAACTGGCATTGACATGGTGACCACCCAGAGCAAACTGTGCATCGACACAGTGCTTCACAGATTTGAGGCCCATCATCTACCGCAGTGTTTCCCAACCACTGGGCCGTGGCATGTAGGTGTGCCGTGGAGGTTATCTGGTTCCACCTGATTGGTGCTCTAAGCGACGGTGTGAGTAACGGGCAGAACAATGACGTTCTCTTCCACTAGAGGGCAGTACAACCACCTGCTCTAATAAATGTGTTGCCAACTGGCAGTAAAAACAGAAGAAGACGAAGAAGAACTTAAATAACAGTCATGGTGTGAGACGATGTTTAAAAAGAAAGTGTTCAGTCTGACCTGGTCCTGGAGAAAACTCGACCCAGATGAAGGCCCTAGCATGAGTAGTGGTCAGAAGGAAGCAACAAAGGTATACTGGGACAAACCGAGCCAGTTCTGCTATATTTGGTGGAAGAATGATCCGTATGGTTTTTGACATGTCTGTTTGGTGGAGTGCTGTGAGATTTTTCTAATGTGAAATATGAACTGTGCCTCTAAAGCCTGGGAAACACTGAAATGTATAATTCTATCAAATGTATGTATTGGGAACTTATTTACTGGAAAATGTGGTAATTCCAGTAAAGCCTGACATGGATGTGTACATCCATCCGTCCCAGGATTGGGTAGATGTGGCGCCTAGAGCCTATCCTAGCGTTCCCAGGCGAGATGCCCCCTGGAGCCGCTCCCAGTCTGTCATGGGGCTAACACAAAGACTTTCACACATACGTCCAATGATGCATGAAGCAGGAGCACCGTGCATGGGGAACATGTAAGCTGCACACAGAAAGGCCGCCACATGGCTGAAGGATTGAAAGCCAGCCATAGTTATAATAACAGTAGAACACGAAAATGTAAGGAAGGTGTATACGGGTGTAGGATGTGGGGATAATAATACTAAAGTCCCACCTGGTAAGCTTTGGTTTTCATTGCAATTACAGCATTAACAGGAACCATGAGGACCATCACAGCCACTCCAGCCAGCACAGACGGACCCAGGTTCTGCACACACGACAACAAACTGCTTCAGTGCCTGTGGGGCATTATTCACACTAGTGGAACCATCCTTCCACAAGCAGAGCGGCACTTTAAAAACAGATTTGTTGCACTTTAGAAAAGGAGAAACCAGCTGTAACTGACAAGCATTACATTAAACATCATCTGGAACAATCAAGCTTCCACAGCTGCCCAAGCCTCATGAGCTGAGCCGACACACAATAGTACGTTTATTTTCTTTATATTGAAAGTATGTAAGCAGCATTAAACATTTGATTTTAAATATATATTTAACGTTTAGTTTACTTAACCTGACCTGCCAAAGAAAGTAGAGGGCCAGGACCACCTGCAGAGGAGCAGACCATATCATGTTGATGTACGTGATGAGATCCATGAAGCGCTGCGCGTCCACTGACATCAGGTTGACGATTTCTCCCACTGTAGAGGTTCGCCGTGCCGCGCTGCTGATGACCAAGGCCTGAGGAGCAGATGAAGCGATGAGATACAGACTTTTCAGCAACCAGTGATGGACAGAATAACAGTCAGATGGTTACATTTATCAACCTTCATCACGAAGAATCTAAATCGCTCTGAAGAAGCACTTGTGTTTGTCCGTTACCTTCCTATAGACGGCTCCAATGACTGCAGTGCGTAAGCGCATGCCTGACACAAAGCATACATGAAAGTACTTCTGCAGGATGAGTGACTGCACGGAGGTGCAGACGAAGAGCAGAGCAGCGTAGAAGTAGCCCTGCCAGGAGGGGGCGCTGGAGTCATTGACAAACTGGATAAGCAGTCTACAGAGAAACAGGAAACAAAGGAACATTAAGCACCCTGCCCCTCGGTCCTTATTACAACTGCATCGTGTACTCGTGTAGCAGAAAAACACAGAGCAGCCCAAAGCAACACGTCGCACTGTCTACTGTTTGTCACCACAACCTTCACACCTAGAGTCATCATGTAATCAAATCCATTTATTTATGCAGCACTTTTCACAGGATAAAACCACAAAGTGCTTCACAGTAATATAAAACAGAAATACACAAAATAATCAAACACACAGCACAAATCTAATTAAAAGCTAATCTAAATAAATGAGTCTTAAGCTGCTTTTTAAAAGAATAAATACAGTCAAGTCAAAGTAAAGATGGAGGGAGAGCACTCCACAGCCTGGGGGCCACCGCTCTAAACATCTGTCTCCTCTGGTCTTAAAACGAGTTCGTGGGACTACCAACAGCCTTTGATGAGAAGATCTCAGGCTGCGAGAGGGAGCGTGGGGCTCTAAAAGATCAGAAATGTAAGCAGGGGCATCACAAGTCAACGCTTTAAAAGTCAGTACCAAGATTTTAAAATGAATTCTGAAGTGTACTGGAAGCCAGTGTAATGAGCGTAACACTGGTGTAACGTGCTCTCTTTTTGGTGTCTTAGTTAAAAGCCTTGCAGCAGCATTCTGGACTAACTGGAGACGCTCAAGATTCCTTTTGCTCAAACACAGAAAAAGGCTGTTACGATAATCTAAGCGAGAAGAAATAAAAGCATGAATAACCTTTTCTAACTCAGACAGCAAAGTTCGCAGTTTGGAGATGTTTCTTAGCTGAAAAAGGCAGCTCCTAATTAACTGTGAGCGTGTTGTTGTAGGGACATGGCAGAACCAAAGATCACACCGAGGTACCTGAGGCTCGGCTGAACAGACGAACCGAGAGAACCAAGATGCTGTTTGATTAGAGATATCTGGTTGTCGGGGGCAATAATTTAATGAAATGTTGGTCTTTCACCAGCTGGTTCACATTTGCAGCTCTTAGATTTTGTGTTCAGTTCAGAGCACCCAGCCTTCTTAGGGTAACTGAGTGGGTGCTCCACAGGGGACGCTGCAGTCCCACTGGGAGACCTGACGGTGAGACCTGGAGGTGGAGTCCTATCAGCTTTGGGTAGCCCGTTGATGGGAACGGAGCGCCAAGCGGAGCTCGACTTGGCGCTGAGCAAAAACTTGTGTGGGAGGAGTTTGTTGAGGCACAGCAGTCCTGGCAGAGATATATTTAGTGCAACAGATGGGCTCTGATGTGTTTGAACAATTAAAGTTCTAGAGCATGATAAATGCACGATGCAACTTCAGACAGATCAACGACTCAATGTCATCTTATCAAAGGGTCTACAGTTTCCTCACCGCAGGATCTCAGGGCCGACAAACATTAGGATGTCCTGGATTAATTTATAGATGCAGGAGATGAAGAAGTAGGGCCCAAACGTGAGGCACAAGGCCCACAGCAGTGAGGGCTCTTTATTTTTCTTTCGAGGTCTCAGAATCAAGATCTCAGACTCTTCCACAGCTTGGCGCTGAGGGTTTTCACTGTGGGGCACTCGCTTGGACGAGTACAGCATTTTCTCCTCTGACCTGTGAAGAGAAAGCAGAGTTAACCTGGCTGGATGTTTCCCGAACAATCTGCATTTGTATAAAGAAGTTTGATCCCTTTCCTGACCTTTTAAATTTTTGGCACTGTGTGTTCCAGCGTTTGACCAACTGTGGGACGACTGTGTGGGAGCAGTCCTCAGCGTTCAAAGACCACAGGTCCTTCTCCTCCAGTGGGCGCCTGTAGCCTTTCATCATCATTCTGGTGGAGAAGTTAGGACAGGTAGGAGAATAAAACACAAACATGTAGAAGCTCAACGTGCAGTAACGTTTCCAGAAAGCCCCAAAGGACCATGTAGAAACCAGAAGTTTCAACACAGAAGACGTCAGCCTTGTCTTAAATATCAATAACAAGCTCCTTCTTTAGAGAGGATACCGACCAATGTGAGATTTTGTTCATCAGCTTTATTACACAGAAATAAGAGCACGTTCACCGGAGTGGAACGGCGTGTTCCTACCTGGTGATCCACCAGAAGGTTATTCTGGAGAGGAAAGACGCTCCAGGCTCAGGGCACGGATTCTGCAGACAAACATCGAGCAGTTAAACACAATGATTTCCACGGCTCAGAAGACAGCAATGCTTTCACTGTACTACCAAAAGTATTCGTCTTTCTCCCTCCACACATCGCATTCCCGATCCGTAGGTTTAATGTGATGTCGGCCCACCATTAGCAGCTCTAACAGCTTCAACCCTTCTGGGCAGACTCTGCACTGCGAGTGTGTTTATGGGAATCTTTGACCGTCGTTCCTGAAGGTCAGACACTGACGATGGATGAGAAGGTCCGGCTCACAGTCTCTGCCAACTCATCCCAGAGGGCTTCTGCTGAGTTGAGGTGGGACTCTGAGTTTGGTGTGGAAGAACCTGACAGGCCTGCACACTGGTCTTTATGGACTGGTGCACAGTCACGCTGGAACAGGAAGGGGCCATCCCCGAACTGTTCCCACAAAGTTGGGAGCATCAAAATGTGCAAACTGTCGTGGCTTCCTGAAGCATTAAGAGTTCCAGGAACAAAGGCCGAGCTGATTTGGAGGGGTAAGCGAATACTTATGGCAATACAGTAATCTGAGTATAAATGAGTGACAAGGGAAGAAAGAGAGATTTGTCAGGCAGCCTCACAGAGTCTTTAACTTCCCGGGAAAAGAGGGGTGGCTGGTCGGTCAGGCTGGACAGGAACAGAGCAATCAGCAGCAGAGCATAGTAGATGTAGAAGGTGGTGTACCTCCACACACACACTGTCTGAGGCTGCACAACAAGAGCATGTTTTTAATCAAACAACCTTATTTTGTTTATTTACTGCAACATCAGTTCGATTAGTAACCAGTTATTTCTCATCATGTAAGTAAAGTGAGTCCTGCTCAGTGAGCACTAACCTGCTCCAAGGCCTGGAAGACCTTTGACCTGAAGGTGACAGTGGCACACAGCAGTGCCAGCAGCCAGTAGATCAGCATCACCCCCGATGACTGAGCCCCCTTCATCCGCTCATAGTGGATTAACATGACAGCCAACAGCTGCGGCACAAGCACATATTTTATATACTAAAAGAAATGGTCCATTTAGTTTTTACAGCATATATTAAAGAGTCAAGTGACAAAAGAAAGACTACCCTAAATAACAAAATACATGCAAGCTTTTCTCAGCTCCGTAAAGAGACGGTAGAGACAGCTGGACGCTCACCATGGTGAGGCCCAGTAAGGTCGGACTGACGAGGCGGACAGGTGCTGGGCTGCTCACATGACTCCTTTCCCAGAAAGAATAAAAGACATCTGACCAGCAGATAATCCAAAGTAAAAAGCCAACAGCCTGTGGAAACAGATGAAATCACTCCTGGATTCGTTGGTAAATACATTTGGTATTTAGTTTATAGACATATGACTGACATCTCCCACAGTTACTGTAGTGACAAGTGGAACCAACCAATGAAACTACAAACACACCGTTCAGTCATTAAAACAGCTAGATTAGATTAAACTGTGATCCTTGATAATAATATCTTTGGGTAGCAGAACATCAAATGTTTAAACTGTGAAAACACGCAATTAAAAAATAGATAATGTCATTATGACTGTGATAGCAGCAATATAACGTGGTACTAATATCATAGAGCTGTAGGAACATTTGGTACCAGTCAGGTTAACTGGTAACAGGCCAGTAACACGACTGTCCCCAGCCTTCCTCCTGGTTAGGACAGGCCCAGAACCCTGGACTATGAGCGGCCCACGAGGCATTCAGATACCAGGACCCCCTCACCTGCCTCGGCTCCGAGTCCCTCCTGAATGACTGAATTCAAAAGTCCAGCAACAGGCCTCAGCTCCCAGACGACTGCGGACTATTTTTAAAAGAGGGAATCCCACACAGCGGGAAACATGGACGTTTTTAAGAGATGCGTTACTTCCAAAAAAATTCAAAATGACCTTGTTGTTTTTTAATTGTACCTTTTCCTCAGTTTAAACATTTGTTTTTCTGAATAAATGAATAAAATGATTTCATTCAATTTTCCACAACATCCCATTTTCTTGAAGTTGGAATTGCATCATGACTCGAATCTTCAAACATTTGTGTTTGAACGAGTTTCTGCTTTGCTCCACTGACAGAACAGATGAGTGCAGTGATGAAAACTTCTACAGCGGGCTCCCATAACTCACAGTTTTGGCTTTGTTGAGGTGATTCATACATATATATCCATGGTCATGGGTATGGAGGTAGACGAGGTAAAAGGGTGCACATATCCAAAGGTAGAAGCATGGCAGCCACACCAAGACAGTGTTCTGGAAACACTGGGTGAAGTCGGGATTATCGGTGTACCATGTACGGTTCCAATCCTGGAAAAGGAACAGTAAGGTTGAAGACATCTAACCACAGCAGGAAAAGACACTCCTGACACACATACCTATGTGTGGCCTGGAGTTATTAATATAGCTTTCTTGTCTTATTTAGATCAACAATGTTGCATTTTACTGCTACATGCAGCTGCAAAAATGAAAATGAAAAGAAGACCTCATCACAGTATAGGACAGGTGTCCAACTCCAGGCCTCGAGGGCCGGTGTCCTGCAGGTTTTAGATGTGTCCTTGATCCAACACAGCTGGCTGAAATGGCTAAATGACCTCCTCAACATGTCCTGAAGTTCTCCAGAGGCCTGCTAATGAACTAATCATGTGATTCAGGTGTGTTGACCTAAAATCTGATCTAAAACCTGCAGGACAGCAGCCCTCGAGGCCTGGAGTTGCCCACCCTGCTATAAGACAAACTCAGTTAAACAGACAATAACAAGGCAACTCCCAAAAAGGTTTTGTAGGTGGTGGACACAGACCACGGCCCTCTTCTCAGCAGACGGGACTGATTTTCCTCCATTTTTATTACCAGATGACACCTACAGCCCAATGACATGTATTCCAGCTCATCCAGGATGGCATCTGTATGCGCCACTGCAAGAACGTTTGCTGCATCTCAAAACTGTAGAGATGCTAGGATAAGGTCTAATGAACTTGAAGAGCTGGAGAGAGATGCAGAGGAGCAGGAAGTATAAAAAGCACGTCTGTGGCCACCACCAGTGACCGTTCCCTTTTGAGGCTAACTTGTCATTACTCTCTAGTGGACTTATGACTCTGGTTTGGACCAAAGCAAATCAAAGTCAGAATATGTTGTGAAATGGATTCACAACAGTAGATAATAGAGTTTATATTATACTTTAATGATGGAGTGCTATTTTCAGTGTCCCTACCTGGAGGCAGTAATGCTAAATGGACTGCTTCTGATATCGACCCAGAGCTTTTCCACTCTGAGCACTCAAAGCTTTACACTTTCACCCAATCACACTAGCACTAGTTTTTAGTGCTATCTAACTAACATTCATACACACTCACACTCCAACGGATGCATCGGAGAGCAACCTGCAGAATGAAGCAGACTGGGATCAAACCACTAACCTTCCAGTTGGTAGATGACCTGCTCTACTACCTGCTACAGCCGATATCAATCCCTCCCTGCTATGTGACAGGAGCCTGAAGTAAAAGGTTCGGCAAACAGTGAAAGATGGTACCCAGTGTTGTGATACCCATTACCTGACTGCAGTTTCAAAGTATGGTGACTTCATGTCCCGAGCAAACAAAAGAAACCTTGACCTACGTACCAGCTGCTGCCAAGTCCCATGGCAAAAATATAACCTACCAAAGTCATCAGCTGTGAAATATTAATAAACAGCAACTTTTTATTTTTCTTATTTCAACTAAACATAATCCTCAGTTTGTTCACACCAGTCACAGTAGAAGAGCGACACCTGGAACAAACACATACCTGAAACTAATAAAGGATGGAGACAGATCGAATGTGCTCAAGTTACTAATTACAGCCAATCATTTTCTGACAATACACCAATTCACTGTAAAATCATAACGGTTGTTATATGCACAGCTATCCCCCCTCTTCCTGTTCTGTAGGATGTGTTTGGTAGACGCACCATGGTTGCTGTTGTCGGTGCCTGAGCTACCAGTCAAGCTGCGTGATGGATGCTTGTTTTGGTTGAGTTTAAGTTTCTCCGTTAATGTCATCTCAGAGTAGCGGTGCATGAGATGAGCCCTCCTGGCCGTAGTATTCCCACAGCATTTTATTTTATTGAACAAAATACTGATACTTGGTGTTTCTGTATCTGCTGTATCAGCCCCCACCCCCGGGGTACACTCCATCCTGTGGTGTTACTGTGAGCAGCGCTCAGGACGAGCTTCCATGTTGTGGAGGGAATCAGTTGGTAGTTTGATGATGTCACACTTGTACTTGAATTCTTCATGATCCGAGTTGCTCGCCCTGTGTTAGCTAGTTCAGGTGCGTGTGTGCTGTTAGCACCTACTACATGCCTGCTGGTGTGTGAGGTCCTACCCAGCTCTATGTGCCTGGGGCTCATCCCTGCTGTGCTGACTGCTTTGCTACATCGATCCTGGCCCACCTCTTATATTGCCTTGCACACTCTTTGGGCACTGGCTGCTTTTTCACTGCAGTCCTGGTTCCAGAACCAGCTTCAGGTCAGACCCTTAGGTCCTTCATTACCGGCAGGCTCTGACATGTCCTCAATAATGGTTTTAAGCACACTACCACAGTGCCACGCGTGGGAGAGAGACCACAGGACACTAAATAACATTCGCACTGTGACGTTTGAGTGTGTACAACACCGGGACTGATGACAACGAGTTCCTACAGACCAGGAAACGAGAGGGAACAACACAAACACGAGCTCGTGAACACTTGTTCCACTGCGAACCTTCCATGTCAGATCAGAGAACATGTGAAACGGCCAACGGAGGCTCAACGATCAGCTGTAACGATGACTTCTAATAAGAGAAGCGCGTCCGACGTGACTAAATAACACGCAACCTGCCGTGGCTTACTATTAGCACGTACCGGGCACCGGCAGCCAACGCCAGCTACGAGAGTTTAAAGCTAGAGGAAAAGACACGGAGTCTGTGACAGGTAACTCACCCACAGGGGATCGGACCTGTCCACGCTACAGAACTGATCAAACCCCATTCGCTGCGAAGCATTAGAAAAGCCGGGGCTGCGAGCTCAGCTTGTTTTGTAACGCCTGTTAAGACGAAGCGGAAGGTTGTTCTTCTTCTTCTTCGGTAATTCAGACACTCGGCCCAAACGTCTACACTGCCACCTACAGCTTCTGTAACGTTATGGCTAACTACACTACGCCATTTGTGCGGTGGGACTGCTGCTGCGATAGTTACAGGAAAAGAACAGGCCGTGTGACTCGTGTCATTACATAGAGCAGACAGTTTGGTGCTGTGGAGTGCAAGCAGGTGTGCCTAATAAAGACTTTACGAACCAGATGTTTGTTTGTGCTCCCAAAACTGTATATTCACAGCAAGAAAGACAGAAAAGGTCATCATTAAAACGATCCCATTTTACACCAGCTGTGTCTGTGAATGTGTCTTAGAAATCACTTTGAGTACTCATCTGACGAATATCACTTCATTCACATTTCTAATGTAGCCGGGTGGAAAATGGGAGGGAAATGTTTATCTTTTCCTTTCCACTAGTGGGTGATGTTTTAAGCATTTTCTCTGGTTGTAGTAGAGAGTGGCTGGTTTTCTAATATTAAGACAGTACCTGCTCCAGCACCATATCTAAATGCAGGGGTTCATTCTAACCTAACCAACTGCCCAAAAAACTACAAATACCTGGACAGGAAACAGGAAGTTCTTTTGTGTGTAGATGCAGAGGAGGCATGTGATATGTTATGGAGAGAAGGATTTTTGATTAAAATAAAACAGATGAGTGTCAACAGTAAAATGCATAAATGTATAGGTGGATAAGAAATTTCTTAGTGTTAGAATTAAGTTCAAATTATCAAGTAGAAAACAGTACTCTTCAAGGCAGTATAGATATTTACTATTATGCTCAATTATATTTTTAGCAGTACAGGTGAGTCTGTGGGTATCGCAGTATTTGCACATGATGGGTTTATTTGGGAAGAAACAAGATTAGAGGAGGCATTACATTATCATCATACTTCAAATCCTCATAATAATCTGAAATTATATGAGGATGCTATAGAAAGAATAGCATATTTTAAATATCTAGGAATATGGTTTGTTAAAAAACTGACATTGAAAATGTTTTTAGAGTAAAAAGTAACAAAACTCCTGTTTCTGTGTTACAGGTCAGGATATGTGACACGTTGACATCAACGGGTCTTTTAGACCCCATTCCTACAAAACAGCTTTAGTGAACGTTACAAATGATCTTCTTATGGCCTCTGACAGTGGAC